CTTCGGCCCCAAATCGTCACGTGCCCCCCCCAGCCGTCAGCCTCCCCCAAATCCTCACTTCCCCGCTCTCCAAATCTTCACCCCCTCAAAAATCTTCCCCCCCCAAATCTTCACCCGCTCTCCCAGCTATTTCCATCCCAGTGCTGGCATACAGCCCTGGGGGGCTCCCTGTGTCCTGGCTCCCCACCAGGAGCTCCAGGCAGCCCCGACCCGACCCCATGCGCCATGTTCTGGTCCCCCATTCCCAACAATGCCGAATCCCTAAATCCTGGAACAGGACAGCGTACGACCCTGTTGAAAAGCTTGTGCGCACACATCCACTCCGGTCCAGAGACACCCCCATCGAAACCCCCGCCCCTGCATGACTAGCGGGGGAAGCCCTCACTCATGCTCACGCTCACGCACGCATGCACGCACACATGCACACGCACGCAGACACACATACACACATGCGTGCGCACACTTTTTCCATCTGCTCACACCCAAACCCCAATACCCCCTGAAATTTCCAGGGACACAACCCCAGGGTGGTTCGGGCATCCCCTTTCTCTCCACCCATTAGGGATGCCAACCCTCCAGGATTGCCCCGGAGGCTCCAGGAATTAGATACACATCTCCAGGAGACTGCTGAGACTCACCCAGGAAATAAATGAGAGGGCATTCATTCAAATAAATATAAAATCCAATTTATACAGCAGTCCGGTAGGTTTTTTAAACGCGATAGTAATGTGCATTTGCCTTCTTGATGTGAAGTCTCTGCACCGTAATCCATAACTGATCTACATAAGCACACAGGCACGTTGGTGTTGTGTATTGGGATCACTGGTACTCTGGAAACCTCCCAGAATGGATTGAAACAGAGTTGGCAACCCTCCCACCCAATCAGCAGTGTGGCCCCCAAACCCTGACACTCCTTGCTGGGCCGTAGGGCTCAGCCCCCACCCCACCACACTCTGTTAACATCCCTGCCCTGAAACATGTCTGACCCTGCGGTCCAATTTCCCACCAAAATCTCGAAAACCGTGGAAGAATTCCCCTCTCCGTCCATGTGCACGTTCCCTCCAATCCACTTCAAATACCACAAGGTAAAGTAATACCTCTGCCCACCCCCATTCATTTGCCCGTCTCCCTGCACACCAAATGAGGCCAAATCTTTTAGCTGATTCCTACACCTTTCTCCCCCTCCTTCCATCACACACCTCATCCAGACTGTTCCCCAGGCCTGCTTCCAGCCCAAACGCAGTCCGTCTGCTCCACCCCGTGCGCTCAGTGACAGGCCACACGCCTACCATATTCTACTGATATCCTCACCCTACCTCCGTCGGGTGAAGGACAAACACCCTAACCAAATCCCGAACACCCTTCCTGCCCCCTGCCACTGAAGGCACAGCTGGGTGGTGAAAAGTATTAATGCCTGTACCAACCTCTCCACCTCTCAATGTATAAAACCTGGTGCTCCTGCACAGGGAAAGCAGATTGTGAAGACCCCTGAGCTGGAATGCAGGAATATTTGTACCGACATGTATTCAATCTGGATGCAGGAGGCACAGGATGAGGCCATCACTTTGGCCAGCAGAGAGATGACAGGTGTAACCAGAAGAACCCAGGGCAGCTAAGGGCATGAGGAGTAGGAGCCTGGATATGGGGCAGCATGTCTATGGGTACAAGTTTTTAATGGCACTTGAGATCAACTCTTGGGCTGTCAGGAGAGGTCAGGAAAAACAGGCAGAGAAACCAATAATAGAGTAAAATTCTCCCCAAAAGCAAGTGTGCTCCTCACTACTCTCCCTCTCTGCTTGTTCAGCTCTGAGCTCAGGTTTTCAAGGCATAGCCAGACCCCCAGATCCGGTGCGACACCAGCGGGGGCTGCTCCCGTAACAAATTGCCTCCTCCCATTTACAACATCGCTTTTCCTTGAGCAAGTGCTAGCTCCCGAGACAGGTGCTGGCTCTGTGCCGGCTGCCACTGGGTGCTGCAGGACCAAGGCCCCATGACACCTCCCTGGGGAAGCAGGATGTCACTCTCCGTTCGCAGGGGGAGTAAAAGGATGAGGGTTGAACAAGTCTGAATGAAGAAGCAAGCTGGGATTCACTCCCCTTCCTTATGGCCAGCACCATGTTCATGAGAATCAGCGCTGTGCACATCCATAATTATCCAGTCCCAACCTTTTCAAGATACATCAAGGAAGCCCCCAGCAATCCATTAATGACATTCAAGCCTCGCAGACATCTAGTTAAGGAATCTTAAATATCTTGCTGGGTCTTGTTGCTAGCATAATACAGTTCTGCACTTACACATTTACATTTCTTTCATCCTGCATTTTTTTTTTCTTCCATAAGCCTGTCCTTCTGCTATCTTTCATCATTTCCAGTGGGAAGAATCAGAGGAAACAATGGAGAAACATCTTGTTCTACAAGGTTCTTCAGTTGTAACTGCTGCTTCCCAGTTACCTGCACTTCGATGCTTCTGCGCTCAGCTTTCCTGTCCACAGCCGTGTTCACAATTCCTGCCCAGGTTGTTGGACTATGGTGAGGACACGTGTGCGGGAAGGCCCACCGGCCACTCTAGTGACCCTCTGGGAGTCCGGTCCCGTTGCCTCCATCCTGCTAGCCTTCACGTTTCACTCTGAAGCTCACACGCTGCCCGACTTCCCTGCAGGCTGCCAGCTCAGCTCTAGAGTTTTGTTAGAAAACATTTACCCCAGAGTAGGTTATGGATCGAGTGCTCCTGTCCAAGCTTTCCTGAACAAATATTATATGGCCCAGGTAGCCTCAAAATACTGGTGCCTGAGCATAGCCGTTGTGCTAACTGATGGGAAACCATTTTTGAAGCCCTTATTCTTTTTAGATGTTTGAATATCCAGATCCATGTACCCATGTGTCAGTTAAGATTATACTAGGCCCACATTCCCCAAAACTGTGTGGTCATCCCATAAAGGCCATGTGTGCAATGCCTGCCAGCCAAGTTGGAGTCACTCCCAGATACTGTCTAGCCTTGTTATATGAATTAAGGGACTGTGAGGTCACCCAAGCCCCATCTTTTTTTTTCTGTACCAGAAAACAATACAGTAAGTCAAATGGATCCCACTATTCTTGCTGCTCCCAGATATACAAGTGCCCCTGGGCTTCCTCGGTCTGAGAGGTGTGGCTGCCAAAGAGCTTTCCCGATACTTTGGAGACCTTACAAGAAGCTGGAGCAAAGGTTACTGATGATATTCTTTTAATAGTCTTTGTAATCTCACAGATGTATTTGGTAGCCGGGTTGGTCTGCGACAAAAAGAAATGTGAAAATGTAGAACTCTTGGTTCAGAAATGATACCTTTTATTAGACCCACTGGGAAATCTCACACACACAAAAATCTCTTTTTCTGCAAGCTTTTGGGCTCTGAGAAAATTAAAGCTGGTAAAAGGTCCCCATAGGTAGGAAATAAACTTAATTTTTGCACAGAGGGAGCTGGAGATGGAAAATCTGTCCCTCTGGGCCCATGAGAGTGTCTCTGAGTTGTTCTGAGTTGCTCTTTGTTCAGGCAAGGTACCTGCCCTGGAGGTGTCCGATGGCAAACAGGGAGGTTTAAAAATCTTTCTTGTTGTTCTGCAATGAAGTTTAAATTCCAAAAATCGCCCAAAAATCGGCATCTTCCACATTTCAGGGATGTATTTGGTAGCTGTGTTGGTCTGAGACAAAAAGAAAGGCAAACATCTAGAACTCTCTGCAAAATCCCTCAGTGCAAAAATGAAGTTTACTTCCTACTTTGGGGACTTTTTACCATCTCTAATTTTCCCAGAGCCTGATGAAAGGACTTTGAGCCTGAAAGCTTGCAGAAAAAGAGGTTTTTTGTTGGGTTTTTTTTTGCAATGTCCTAATTGGTCTAATAAAAGGTATCATTGCCGAACCAAGAGTTATAGATTTTTGCTTTTCTTTTATAATTCCACCGCACTGCCACAGACCACGTGATAAGCCAGAGTGAGACCCCTTGCCCTATGGTCTTCTGGGGTCACTTGGTCGTCATGATTCAGAAAGGTTACTTAATGAGCCCCAGTTGCACAGCAGACATTAGTAAAATGTAGTCTAGTTCTTTAATAAAGATGGCAACGTTTTCAGCTAAATGCTGCTCAAGGAGGAACGCGGTTCAACAGTGACCAGACTCCTGCATTCATGACCCTCTATTCATCCCATCCAGGAAGAGCGCACACACCAACTGCAGATGCTTCCTCAGTCTGACAAAGGGTGTTTGTGCCCGAAGGCTTGCAAAGAAGAATTTTCCAGCTTTTTGAGCTGGTCTAATCAAAGATATCATATTTACCCAAAGAACCTTGTCTGCCCTTTCCTTCTAAACAGCATTTATGAGCTCTCAGTAGAGGGCAGACTCAGATTACATTGTTCACTTGTGTTTCCAGCATTTCATTTAATTGGGAAAAAATTTCTGGAGAACACTTCTCCCAGCTAAGGCAATGGGTGATAGGAAAGCAGTGTTAGCCATGCAAGGGAATTCTGGTAGGAGGAACGTAGTTACTCCTTATGAAGCATCTGCAGAATGACAACAGTCTCCTCTTTAGAGTCTAAGCAGATGTGTACATTAAATTAGCAGGCTAATCCAATACCCTGTGCTTATTCACTCTCAGCCTCAGGAGCTAACAGGCAGACTGTATCTGTTTAAATCTGCTCTGCTGCTGTGAACAGTTTGCACAACTGCACCTCTGGCACAACCCAGCCCGTGCATTTCACAACTAACCCTTCATTATATTTCTAGTGGAAGGATAAGCCCGAAGGTTTCGGGGGTCTGGGACCTTCAGGTATTAGATCAAAAGCTACTACACTGCAGTGGTCAAAGCATAGGAAAATGCCTGACAAAAAGCAGAGGAAAGTATAATCTCTGCTACTTCTGAAACAGCCACATCCCAATTAGGATAAAAACCCCAAAGGCCTGAAATAATCCCAGGAGGTTGGGTCCTTGGAGGCAGCACACCCCTGGAAGTGGCTTTGTCCGGCGGTCGTGCCGTGTTTCAGCACCACGGGTTCTAGGGCTGTCGTGTCGCACTGCCTACTTCCCACAAGAGGATTTCATTCCTCTCTTGAAACCACTCGACGACTCCATCTTCCTGGAAGATTTGAATTGTTGTAATTTCGCCTTCAGGATAAAATGAGTGGTGCAATCACTGCATTATCGCTAGCTTTGTTCTTTCTGCTGAAGTTTTGCCCCAGGCCCATACTTACACGGTACGACTCCAATAGAGCTGCAATTGCTTCCCAGAGGCTCATCCAACAATTTCTAGCATAGCCCCTAAAGCAGCAAGTGGCTTGGGGGAGATTTTGAAAGGTCTGGGAGTGAAGGGGAACTCCGGGAGAGGGCAAACACCCCCAACTCCCTGGAACAATCCCATGGGTCCCCCTGTACCAGCACCCGTTAGTAATCCCTTTCTCAAACAGAGACATTAAGGTGAATGATCAGCTGTTGCTTGAACCAGATCTGCAAGCTGGAGACCGGGCCAGCAACCAAAAGGTCCTGCCTTGTCACGTATTGTCCAGGTCACCGCCTGAGATGCTCCAGCCAGAGGGAGACCGCACACCGTGGGGCAGCCCTGGTTCTGCAGGGGCTGAGCGAGTGCCGGAGCCAGTACGGGCTACAGAAGGCAAGCCCGGAGACCACGTCCGGCCACAGGAAGATGCAGAAGGCAGGCAGAGACAGAGACAGAGGCAGGCTGTCCACCGCGGAGCTGCTCCCTGGTGATGACTGCCAGGCCATCTGGGACCGGATCATCCACAAAGACCTAAGAAGAGACCACAGAGACTTGACCTGGCTTGTCACTCCCAGCGTACGCCCAGGGGAGGCGTGGAGAGCGAGACCCTCGACCACCTCCTGCGGCTCTGCCCTGTGCCAAGGGAGCGCGGGAAGAGGTAAGCTGGCTCCTGGAGGAAGCCGATGACAAGGGAGGCAGCGCTGTACGGACACCTGACGAACCATCGGGGGCCCAGACAACCCGCTTCGACCAGGTTGTGTCCAGCATCAGGAGCGCCTGGTGGCAATGCAGGAGCCGCCTGACGTACAGTCACGGTGAGCTCGAGCAAACGGACTGTGCTAAAATGTTTCTGAGCGAGCTCCAGTCCTGCTACGGGGAAGCGGTGGGAGAGGACGCAGCCACCACCACCTAGCAAAGGGACACGTGGCACAGGCCGGGGAAGGGGAGCGCACAGGGGGAGTGAAGGGGACAACAACCCAGCTGGGGCTGGAGCCGGCGAGGAGGACAGCAGCGGGATCAGCAGCAGTGGAAGCAACAGCGACGAGGCCCGAGAACGAACTGAGAAGGGAAACCCCGCGCCGGGGCCGGGGCTAAGGGCCTGCGTTTGGGTTAGGGAAAGGGTCATTGTAATGGGCGTGCAGGTTTCTTACGGTGGTTTTAAAAGAAGGTGCGATGGAAGTCTATGATAGAGGATGTATGTATGTGTGTGTGTATATGTATAACTAAATAGATATAGATATATTTTCATTTTAAAAATGTTGCTTGAGAGGTTTCCAAGCAGTTGCAAAGTCCGAGCAGGGTGGGAGAGATGAGTTTGGTGCTACTTGTAGAAACTAAGGCCAGCACTTGGCAGGGTTTTGCTGCAAGTCAGGCCCAGAATAGCAAGTTTCACGCAGTACTCGGGCTGTGGGCAAGGCTTGCCAAGTGGAGAGCCAGACCAAGCTGACAAGTTCAAATTGTTCTCAAGCCCTGCGCTCAGCAGCAATGGCTGCTTGACTTCAGAAAGGCCTTGTTAATCATTCCTTTGACTTGTTTTGACTGGTGAGGAGGGCTATGGGGTAGAAAACTTGGGATCCCCGTGTGTGGTAACAAACACAAAAGACTAGTACATATGCTAGCCGCGGTCACCTTATACACTTGCGAGTGGGTTTTTTTTGGAAACAAAAGCCTGCCAGGTTCAAAATTGATGGTGCTGTAGGCAGATTGGATCGGGCTTCTCCAGCAAAACCTGCTCTGGCTACGTGTGCACACCACTAGTTAAAAAGTTAGCTGGGACACAACAGTGCACTTCACAACTGCAACATGGGTTTGAAAGACTTTATTTGACACCTTTGCTAGGTGTCTGACAGCTTGCAAATCTAACAGCTCTGCACAGTGCAAAGTGAGGCAAGGCTACTTTCGCATGGCAAGCTCTAATGTGCAACCTAGCTCCAGCAGTGCTCAGTCCCCGGGGACCTTCTCTGACTTTATCAGACAGGAATCTCTCATCCCTGCTGGCTCTGCCACATCAGGAAACGAGGGAGGGCGTGGACCGGAGACACTCATTTGTATTAAGTTCAGTGTCTTTCATCAAAAGAATTGGGCACCATTCACATCCCCCCAAAATCTGACACACACTGGTAATGCGCACAGGGCAGGCACACGCCTCTATCAATAAGCCACTTGGGCAATATGCAGCCACCCAGTTGTTCGATCTTTGGGAAGGGAAGCGTGCAGTCCGTTAATAAGACCTTCCTGCCTATTCTCCTTGTCCCTATTTTTCTGCTCCTCTTTCTGTGTTCGTACCTGCTGACCACATTAGACTCCCAGGGATGTGATGAAGCTGCCTTAAAATGAGCCCCTACCACTACCAGCCTCTGCACACATTTAGAGACAAGCAGTTTCAGGGAAGAAGGTTCCTGTTTTGTTTTCAGGTGCATCTGGTTGCCTCCACTTCCAGGCATAATAGGACCCTCGCTGCCCACTTTTCACTTTATATGCAGAAGGGTATGGCTGTCAGAAGCTCCCCATGGGTGGTAGACAGCTTGTGGCTGCATGACAGACATCTTGTTGGGAAGGCAAGCCCCAGGATCCCAACACATCCTGTAGGAACTGAGGTCCTGGTTTTAACGCGTCTAGGGCCATCTGGTTACCACGGCCATTCCCACTGCTTCTGCTTCCTGCACTCATTCAGGGCAGCTGCTTGCAAGGGCCCTTTCTTGTCTGATCTCAGCAGGATGTGAGAGCACCTCACTCTTCCAGAGGGTTTTGCATCTGTGGATATCAAAACTCTTTACAAAAAAGATGGATGCACTATTTATTATCTCTGTTTTAGAGAGGGGGAAACAGAGGCACAAAGAAGTGATGTGACTCAGGCCAAGTCACAGCAGACTGAGCTGGGGAGAGAGCACAATGCCCGCTGAAGCCAAGTCCAGGCCCCTAACTACTGGTGCATACTGCCTCTAAACACCCCTACACATCAGAAGAGTTGGAAGTGGAACAGACCAGCCTGAGAACAGCAACTAGAACAGAATGCACAGACAATGACAAAGAGAGCAATAACCCTGGCAATTATATAGGGACACAGAGAGAAAAGGGCAGAGAAAGCTTTCAGGATACAGAAGACAAGAGCACGGGGTCTGACCTAAAGCTCACTGAAGTGCCTGGAACGACTACCACTGGGTTTGGGATGCAGCCCAGAGACAGGGTTGATTCATAAGGCAGGCATTAAGACATTCGAATAAAAAAAAAGGAGATGGGTTGGAAAAACAGGAAAGAAAGTACAGTAAAAGGGCCTGCTACTAAGAAACTGGTATATAACCCTGTCTCCCCCTTCTCCCTTTTTGGTAACAGCTTTTCATGTTGCTAAAGGGGAGAGGGAGGGGGGAAGAAAAGGCATCTTTTTGCCTCCATCATCCTTGCCTGACAGGTGTCACTGAAAATCTGCCCTCTTCCTGTCATCCTGAGCAAGATCTGGTGTATTCTTACTCTGGAGAGCCAGCGCCTCGCTCCTTCAGATCTGCGTTCTTTGCTTGGCAGCCCCATACAGTACCTAGCTGGGACATTTTGCACTGTAGTATCTAACGCAACCTCCTGAAATCAATCCATTCTCAGCACCAGATTCATTTCGATATGAACCGAGTACATGGATGACGCTGGAAAAGGTCCTAGCTTGGGGAAGTGCTGGGAGAAGGTAGAGGCGGGCTGTACATGGTAGTGGGGGATGCACCAGCTCTCGAATGTGTCCAGTAGTAAGACGTCCTGTGCTGGAACAAGCCCACGCAATGGAGATGCATCACAGGGATCGTGGTATTTCAACTCGGAGACATGGGGCAGTAGCTCTGTCATGCTTTTATCTAACTCCATGGGGTGGAGGGAATGCATTTGGAAGGAGCTTATGATGAGCAGTGGCAAACTCTGCATCCTTGTGGAGGAAAAGCGGGGGAATTAGCAAATGGGAAAGGTATCTTCAAATGGTTGTGACTGCTGATGGCAGTCCTAAAAAGGGGGTGGATTCAGTTCTCCAAAGTCACTTTAGGTCACAAGAAGAGAGGCTCATCACTGCTACTTTCTTACACTTCTCTCCTTACTTAGGTCAAAAACCATGGTGGGACCATAGGGAGAAGATTCCCAGGAAATCAGCATCAGAACAGGTCACTGCTCGGGAGTTTCGAGTCTCCAAAAATATAGGAATCAGTTCCAGGGCTGCATTATATTTTCCAGACTGCAGCATTCATTTCCACTGAGGGCCTCTGCTGGAGAAAAGGCAAGGCCTGAATGAGAATGTCTGTATAAACCTCAGCCATAATAACCAGTAGTGCATAAGATGGAGCTGTCCGCAAATTCATTGGGTCCAACAGAACGGCCGCACATCTGAAATGTAAGAGTGGGAAAAAGGTGGAGGGAGGGACAATGGTGTCAGGAATGAGATGGGAGGATGTTCATGGAGCCCTTATTTCTGCAAAGCAGGGAAGATGCCTGTTCAGCTGGGCTGGCTCTTAAAAGTCCAAGCAGTGGTAGCTGAGGATATTTGTCTCCTAACAGAGGAAGGATCAGAAAGCTCCAATTTCAGTGGCCCAAGAGCGGCAGAGTCTGGACGTTCCCGCTCTGCTTCCTGGGCCCTGGACAGAAGCACTCAGCGCTGGAGGAGTTGTGTAAGCGGGTGGTATAGGGATGCCAGCTGCCGCGGGGGAGAGCAGGAACGTTGCTATCTGCGTGGTCCGGGATGTTGTCTCTCTCAAGGCACCGGGTGGCGATGGCACACCCGACATGGCACTGGGGGTGGCTGGCACTACTGCGTGTCTAACCCTCCGGGATGAAGAAGCTATCCTGTTGGACAGGAAGCTTCGGCGAGTTGGCGCGATGTCACTAGGGATTCGGCGAACGGGAGCTGGTCTCATACCGGCACTTGGATAAGCCAGGGCAGAAGCAGTCAAAACAGCTGGACCAGGGGCAGCCTCCCTTCTTGGTATGGGCACCCGGTTTGCAGGCACCATGGACGTGTGAAGGAAGGACCATGGCCAAAGCTGAAAGGGCAGAAAGGAAGCAGCCACAGGCGAAGGCTCCATTTCAGCAACATAATTATTCAGGTGGGACAGCAGTCGCAGTCGGATTGGATCAGCGGCATTTTGTCCCTCAAGGATACCAAGGTACCTGACAACTTCAGTGAGGCATTCGCGGAAGCCGATACTTCTGTAATCCACCGCCAGGGCTCGGGCATCTAGGAACCCTGTAAGGGGAGAAAACACGCACCCACTGGGCATTAATTCTGATCTGCTCTCCAATTTCCCCATCCTTTTTCATACAATTTGCATTTAGCCTTATGCCACCAGGGACCAACATGCAGGACAAAATGGATATATTAGTCTCTACTCCACGGCTGTCCCTGTGGAAGGGTGAACCATCCGAGGGTCTAGCAAGATGAAGGTTGTGTGGAAAGATTGGTGGGCTCTCCATGAGTTTAACAACCACGGTTTGACTGTTATTCATGCTTTATTTAAGCAGGCGTCAGCCTAGAGGACACAAGACAGCTTCAGAACCAAAACTACTGGACACAGAGGTCAGAAGGCATGGGCTTGGGAGAAGACCAGTGAGACAAATTAGAGCAGCCATTTATTCCTTGGGCCTCTATTTCCCTCCTCTAGAGCAGTGGTCTCCAAACTTTTTTGATTGCACACCCCTATCAGTAAAACATTTTTGAGCACGCACCCCCAATATATGTATATTTATATAAATAGAAATAGAAGTTCTAATATTTTCTTCCCGCACCCCAATGGATCGTCTTGCGCGCACCCCACTTTGGAGACCACTGCTGTAGAGAGGGTAGGCAATAAAGCAGAGAACTCAACCAGAACAGCAAAATCCCACACTGCTTAATATTCTGGAAAACCAGCTGACTGCACGGCTCAGCATTTGCAGAGCTATCTTAGTCCAATAAATGATGCTCCAAGCCCAAGCTATACCTCTACTCAAGTCCAGACTTCGGTGCGATCTACGAGCAAAACCAGTCTGGGCTCTCATAGAGTCAGAGAGTACTTTGTTGGAACTGGGAACCTTGCCACAGTACGGTGGAGATGGGACTTCTGCTGGTTTTGAAGTTTTGAGTAGGGCGTGTATCCCCCTTACGTTTTACAAGCCATGAGATGAAAAAAAAGTCATGTTTGTATGCGGAGTCACTAACCAGAATTCAGACTGTGCAGGAAATGTATCCTGGGGGGAGGCACGGACGTTAGTATACTTTTTTTGGAAGCAAAGTCCATTTGTGAGCATGACTAACTGTGTACTCTTGACTGGGCAGATCGCAGCGGTACATTGCCGGGGCAATAGCAATGCTGTCACTGTTCTGGGAGCTGGCTGTCTTGTCGGCGGTTACACAGGACATACCATATGCCATACCTCAGCCTGCCAAGGCACAAAATGTGAGACACTGACCCATCTGTAGGATTCAAGAAAAAAACCCAGTAGCACAGGAAGGCTGAAGCCTCCCCAGGGGAGAGCCATTTCCTTTTAGAAGGAAAAAAACTGCAAACTATTTTCTGGAACATTAGTTTTAATGCTTTCTGGGACAAATAAGCTACAACAATGAATGTTGTCCTCTGTAGTGGTGGGACAGGTGAATGTCGCCTATGACACAGTCAGTGGGAGCCTGGTCATTAACCTTCAAGGGGCTCCAGAACTTCACTCTCACTCCGTAAGTTTACAGAAGTTCTCACCTGTTCCTCCAGTAGCGTGAAGCATTTTTAAATGATCCACTGTCATTTGCAGGATCTCTGCCTTCTCCAATTTGGAGGAGCCCTGTATAGTGAAAGCAGAAAGGGACAAAGGAAGAGGAACCATTAGTCTGGCATTTGGAAGGCAAGAAGCCACCTTAGGGAGTCTTCATCAAGTGGCCTCCAAACTTCCCCTAAGTTCAAAAGGGGCCAGAAGAGCAGATTGAAGTTTAGACTTCATCTGAGATCAAGGGACAGGAAAATGGACCTGCTTCAAAAGACAATGGGACGTAAACTGAAAATCTCCACATTGATTAATTCTATCTGCTTTTAGGTTGAAGTAATCTTTTGTAAGGCTCCCTGACAATTTTTGAACGTCATTTTTCCACTGTATTTTACCACCCATTTATTCTCTGAAAGGATCACAAGAAAATAATATTTATGTAGGCCTTTTAATCCTCAAAGAAATCCTAAGAGACTCTATATGCCCACTTCCAGAAATGCAGCTGCCTTGGAGATGAGACACAGCTGTCACTGATGTTACACAACCATTACAAAAAGAGCAAGTGAAGACCAGCATTTCTGGAAATGTAACTATAGGAGGTATTTAAGGAGGCAGAAAGTAACTAACCGCGTTAAAATTTGGACACGGTTTCTTGGATTAATAAATACCCTACTGGAAGAAGAACTGTGTCAAGTGAAGGGCCTTTAAACATTTAAATATTCATCAGATACCAGGAGACCTAATAAATTAACAATCACATGTGTAAGAGAGGTGACTTAGATTTTAGGAGGTCTTTCTGGCATGAATGGACAGGACAACATCTCATCCAAAAGACCTAAATAACCTGAGCTGAATAGAAGCATTAGGATGGTGACTTCCAATGGCTCCGAGAGCAAAATGCTACCTACTGCAATCATTGTTTTCTATAGCACCTGCTACAAGTGTCCCTTGGAAATTCTCCTGCCCACATACCAATCGAGCAAGATCCTGCTCAGCTTATGAGAGCTCATTAAGTTATATCCCAGCATAGAATGGCTGTAAAAAGAAAGGGCCTCCTGCCCCTTTGGGCCACAGCGCTGCTTTAGGATAATTCCCTTATCTGTCTGATACCACCCCTTACTGCACTGGGGGCCAATGTTTTTGGCAGGCATGCTGTAAATTAGCTCTGTACCCCCCCAGAGAGCCAATCCCCCTCCCCTGCCCAATCTGCTCTGCTTTCTACTCCCTACCCTACCTGCCACTGTGCTGCCTCTCCTTGATCTGCTGTGTGCCACACAGAGAGGCTGCCTGTGCCTCAGGTTGGTCACCCCTGCCTTAGCACATGCTTAGATGCATCAGGAGACGTTGCCATCCATTGCTTTCCCCAAAGTTATGATGCCATCTCATCCAATCCTCTTTGCATACCTGTTTTTCAAAGGCCGTGGGGACTAAACGCCTTAGTTCAGACAGGCTGCTGTTGATACGGTCTCGACGCCGCTTCTCAATGATCTGCAAGAAAATTCCATTGAGGGGAGAAAAGCTGGGCCCCACGCGCTCCAATAGCTTTATGGTTAAATCCTGTTCTTCTACCACTCCTATCTACAGGTCCATGGATGACTGGTGCTGCCTTAGTCAGGGGGCATGTGCCCCCCCAGTGACTAGTCAGTGACTTGGTGGGGGGTGTCCCCGCCACGGCCGATCTTGCTGGCCAGAAAGCGGCCACGGTGCTCCCACTCCCCAGCTAGCGCATCCACCTGCCCCCCGCCCATCGCCTGAGCAGGGAGCACGGCCCATCAGGGGGTGCACCGGCGCTCTCAGGGGGTGCACGTGCACCCCCATGCACCCCCTATGCATCACCACTGTACAGGTCTTGAGTGTTCACATACACATCCAGTTACAAAGCCATCCAGTCCTCCATGAAGTAGGCCAGCCCAGTTCCCACAGCTTTAAAATCCCCATTAATATCTATAGCTTGAAATAAGCTCTTTTAATGGCAGGAAACAAATGTTACAGACAGAAATGCTGAGGGGCAGAAACATCCAATGCCTTGCCCAACAAGGGCTGGGGAGATACCTCCACAAGGCATGGCAGCCTCTTCATGCTGGACCAGATGGCTGGGGCAGGATGAAAAGGTCCTAAAAGTCCCAGATATGGCTGGGGAGGGAGGGATTCCCTGGTTAAGGTTCAGAGGAATCCTGCCATAATGCTGCCTTCTGAAGTCCTCTTCATGGGCCACCGTCTAGGGGACGCGCTAGGGATGGAGCACAATAGAGAGACCAGGGAGGCTGCTGGAAGGAAAACGCATTCCCGGAGCGATCCAAATTAAACTGGAGGCTTCTGTGGTCTCCAGAGCAGCCCATGCCAAATGCTGAAGAGATGGAGATGGAAGACAGGAGTCCTGTCCACCTGGGCCAGACTAGGCACCCTCGGAGGTCCTTCCCATCTCTTATGGTTCTAGTTCTGGTTGTCTCCTTTGGGATATGGACTTCAGCCTTACTGCCGACAACAGATGGTTCAGGGAAGAGAAGGGATCTTTCACAGCACAGTGCTATGGTGAACTATAGACCACGCAGTAACGAGCACTAAAAATGGTGCAGCTGGCTCCCCACTACGGGGCATGGTGGCATGGCTGTTCAGTGTTGTAATGTAAGGGTCACTCACCCCTCTCCGCTTCTTCCTGGCTTGTATCTGCAATGTTGTGGTGGGAGATACCGACCTGGACACTTGGCTAAGTAAAGAGAGAGAGGGGGGAGAAAAGGGAAGGCAGCTTTTACCCGTTGTCCCTTTGTGACTCATTCACACACATGCTGGACACACACTTGTTGCAGGCACTTTTCTCCGAAGAATGGAGTCTTTTGAAATTCGAGCATCTCAAGCCCGGTCAGTTTAGAGCCAAGTAAATGGGGACATGGGCAGGTGGAGCTGGGCTGTAATTTATGTCTTGCCTTCCCCCTACCCCAACCTCCGAAAGTATCAGATTGAGAGAGATTTCTGGACAAGGCTGTCTGTTCCACTAACAGGCACATCTTGTCTTCTGGCATCAAAATATGCAATGTCCTTCTGAGGCATTGAAAAAGCAGAGATCTGAGCTTTTGAGGCCCTGAACCGGGGTATCAGCTTTCCCCAGCCATGAAGGTTTCAGATCTCTTGCATTAGCCGGCTGGTGTCAAGCCTGCAGCACTTTGCTTCCTTTATACTAGCTTCATGAAAATGGGATGAGGCACCCACAAATCTCACTGCAGTCAGTAGGAATTTGGGTCGCTTTTATCTCAAACCCAATAATATCATGCAAGTAATCTATAAGGGCTGCTCTGGGGCAGCTGTAATTATTTTACTGAGGATGCCTCTGGGAGCTGCAGGCTTGTTTCTCCTGCCGTGTGATAGACCACAGTGACTCTGGGTTGCGCAGGACAGTATCCTTGATACAGGAAACAGCAGAAAAGTAAACTTTTAAACTAATCAAACCAGTTATTCCCCAAAAGAAGAGGTGTTATAGCTCTACAAAGGTGGCACTCGGCTCTGGGGGAGCCGGTGGGATGGGAGGCAGCATTTCTCAGCAGCGACCACTGCCTGCTGCTGAACATCCCTTGAGGGCACTGTTCTGTCACCAGCAGCGAGTCCCAGGCTCAAGGAAATGCAGGGGCTCAAGGAAAAGACAGCTACAATGGGAAAAACGGAGGGAGGGTGACCTTCACATTTTTCTGCGTCTGAGATCCAAGGAGGAGACAAAAGACCCATAGTAACAGTGCACGAAGCAAGACAGAGCAGGTAAAGATGAGAGAAAGAGGTCAGATCCAGTTTTTCTGGTATAAGCAACTTAGTCTATCAACCTAGTGTCACCGTTCTGAGCATCTCTTGTACAACGCGTGATAAAAAGAGCAGGATAAGGGCAGCTGTGGGCACGTTTGGATTGCAAAGGAGGGATATCCTTTGTAATGGCAGCCAGCTGGGAAGACAGTAAAACCTCCTGGATGCAGTACATTTGGCAGGACAGCTACACAAACCCTCTGCTTGAATGCTCTTCCATGGTCCTGGGAAGCGAGAGGTGGTTCATCTTTCCACCACAGCTCCTCAGTTCCCAGAACAACAGTGCTCTGCCAGCCTATTTCTGTCCCTTGGGAAATCAGGAGCGAGGATGCTAAAATCCAAGCAAGTTCATGGTCTAGCACAAAACCCCCGGGGCACGTGACCAGCAAGGAAGAAATACAAGTCTGGGAAGAGGATGATAAGCTCGCTCTACCAAAGTGAAGTATTTTTCAGTTTGGCAAAGCATTTCCACACTTCGGAAAGTTTCTGCAGGCACAGCGTTCTCTGCACAGCAGGCCAAAATCAGCCCAAGCTTGGGCCGTTAAAAATACATTTTTGTTAGGCACGTGCCAAGTGTTCCCACAATATTTTTCTTATACACGATAATCCATCTTTGTACTGAAAAGCGTCTCATACCCCTGTTGTCTTTATGCTGTTTGAGCATCTGCTAGGTGCGATTTCTGCATATGGGTTTGCTGCATTTGTGTGTCAACACCTACATTAATCGCAGCATCTCACAGAGTCACAGAGAAGTTGGCCTGGAAGAGGCCTCCAGAGGTCAGAATCCAACCCCCTGCTTGAAGCAGGATTACTCTTATCCAAAACACAATGGATATATAATTTATAAACCTGCATGAGAGCACGTGCTCAATACGGACAGCGTGAGGTGCTCTGTATATACATGGCATGGTGCGCCTGGTGCCTCACAAGCAGAACTAACTCGCTGCGAAGGCAAATGCAGTGAAACTCCATTCACAGCGAAGCAGAAACCCCCCCCCGTACTGCTTGAATGCAATGCAGATTTATGAACTGCAAACCTAGACCCTGCTCTGCCAGACCTGGCTTCTTTCTAAAAGGTTTCATTAGCACTGATAAATGTGAATGATTTACAGAGAATTAGGCTGAGTTTTTGGAGGGTTAGGATTCATGCATTTCTTCTGGTCAGGCTTCCTAATATTGTTCTGATGGCTATTTAACGAAGAGAGACAACGCTTTGTACATGTGTATTCACATCTCCCCCCCCGCCAGGCCCTCCGACCACTCTGTACACCAGTGGTTCTCAACCTGGCTAGACTCGAGGCCCCCTCGGAGAAAGCCAACTCTTGGTTTTCACTCTTTTTTTGCCTACGGAAAAATAACAGAGCAGCTCTTCTGTTGCAAAGAACAGAGAGACCACAGCAGGGCAGGGAGCTCTTGATCCCTGTTTCAAATCCTGGGTTTAATCTTGCCCGTTGTGGTTGCGCACCCCACCATGCTGACGCGGCGTGGCAGCCCGCAGCACCCTGAAGGCCTTCGAGGCGCCCGGTGGGAGAATCACAGCTGTAAATATTCATAGATGTTAGGAGCTGGAAGGGACCTCCCGAGATCATCTTGGGCAGGAACAAATTACACCTCACAGCCGGGGCTCCCTGTACAACAGAGAACCAGCCTGGCCCAAAGTCCCTGTGGGAGTCCTGGCAGTGGGCGCTCCCCGTGCTGTCCTGCACCCTGCTCCCTCAGGGGCAATTTTTGCCTGGTCCCTTGCTCCCTCATCTATGCAGCCCTGGGGTTGTTTCAGGAATGCATTGGGTAGCTGTGTTGGCCCGAGCCAAAAAAGAAACACAAAAAACTCTAGCATCCTTGGTTCTGAGCCCATCCCCTTTATTAGACCCACTAAGAAACCGCAGACAATTTTCTGCCAGCTCACGCAAGCCTGAAACCGTGCGGAAAAAAGATAATTTTTTGTTGTTGTTGTTGCAATTTTATATTTTTTTGCGATTTCTTAGCGGGTCTGATAAAAGGGATCAGCCTTGGGGTTGTGACCTCTGCAGATCGAGAGCCTGGGGGACCCCCCGGAGCGCTGCTCCCGATGCCAGCATCCAGCAGCCCGGAGGTGCGGGCGGACAGAGGCGCTGGATCCCCCCCCGGAGACCCGATCCTGGGGAATGGCCAGGCTCCCTCTGCCCCCAGGTGGGGGGCAATCCCCTGGTTTTCCGGTGGGGATCGGGTGCGGGTGAGCGGGGGTCAAGGGGACGTGGGCAAGGCGCCCCCCGCGCAGCAGTGGCAGAGCAGCCCCTCTCCCCTAGCCCCGGCCCTGGCCCTGGCCCACCTGTACTCCTCCTCCCTGCCCACATCGATGGTGCCATCCGACTCAGTGTCCGACGAGCTCTCCTCGCCCAGCCGCTTCATCCTGGGGCGCTCCCGGATCAGCCCCAGCCGCCGGAGAGCCGAGCGCTGCGCTGGGCAAAGCACAGCCTCCTCCTCCCCTGCTTCCCCTACCCCACCCCCTCTCCCTTCTCAGCACGTCTTTAACCTCCCTGGTTAATGGGTTAATGAGACATCTCCCAGGAGTGACGGATTACTCCGCGGCTCAGGCTTTCCCAGGTTCTCATCCCTCCCCCCAGGCTGGTTGCAAGCCCAAAGTCTTCCTGTAAAAGGAGCAGGCTGTGTGAACTGTCTCCTGTCCCCCTCTCCCCTCGCCCACCCCCGCGTGGTGATTGGTCTCAGCAGCGGTTTAAAGGGACCAGTGACCTCACTGGCAACAGAAAACCGTGGGAAAGAGATGGGCCTGATAAAGCCTGGAGTTGTTTCAGGCTAAAATCAACATCCAGTCCCACACGCACACACACATGTCTGCTGGGCGCTCCAGCGCCGCTGTGCCGACTTATGATTCAGATGGAAACCAGCTTAGCTGCTGCTCTTGACTGTTTGAGAAAGCGTTTTCAAAGGGCCATTGACTGGGATTAGTCAATGGGCAGAGGCCAAGGGGAAGAAGGGCACAGGCCAGCCGAATGCTTGCAGATGCCCAGGGCTGTCTTTGGGGGATCAGGCGGTCCCGGCCTTCACCCCAGCAGGTCAGCCCGCGTGTACTGCATGGGCCAAGCCAGGTCAGCTCCCGTCCAAGCCGCTGTGGCATCTGCCCTCCGGGACTGTGGTTTCCCTTTTGCACAGCATTGTGAGCGCCAGACCCTGCTCGTCGTCAAGGGGCTGCCAGCGTGTTTTAGATGCAGAGAAAAAGAAACGCAAAAATGGAGAACTCTTGGTCCAGCGACAATGCCTTAAAAGGTCTCATCTCTGAACCAAGAGCGCTAGATTTTTGCATTTCTTTTCGTCTCAGACCAACACAGCTACCAAATACGTCCCTTTTAGATGCAGCCACGTTTGAAGGTGTTCATTTAAAGCATGGATATTTTAACATCCATACACATTTCCCGTTTTCTGTCTCATTCAGTGACCTCAGAAGACACCCGGGTGCAGCTCAAAGGCACTTTACAGTAACTTTACTTGGGTGCCCAAATGCCACCCATTTCAGTGGGAATTAGGCACCTACGCCTTTGAGGGTCTGAACCTCTGCTCCTGAGGATCCTGACCAACTCTAACAATTCCCAGCCAGCTGCTGTGTGCTTGCTAATGAAAGGGAGGTTTATAACAGAAAAATATCGCCATACAGGTTGAAAACATGACCAACAATGAGGCATACACCCCAGTGTGTGCGTACAAAAGCTTTTCGTTTTCCAGGGCGCTTCACACAGACTCTTCACGAGTCGCTCATCCTATGCAATTAAAACAGCTGCGCACAGCTCATGCCAACACCACCCGCATGACAAACCATCGTCTATTCTCCCCTGTGAGAAATCACAGAGCCAGGTGATGAATTCCTTTTCTCCACCTATCTTTGGCTCCGCGGCCTGCGCTCTGCTCGCTGATTCTGCCAGGACCGCTAACATTTCCAATCCACGAACTGCTTTTCAGCCAGCTGTAATTCAGGCAAAACAATCTGCCAACACATTTCTACTTTCTACCCCTCGACAAATAGGGCATTTCCCCTCCACTTGCATATCCTGCCCCTCTGATCAATGCGACATTCGGTAGAGCTGAGCAGGAAATGTTTTTTCCATTTTGTGATGATTTTTGCAATGGTCAAAATAAAACTCCGTTCCCACAGAAAGATACAAAAAACTGAAACCTCAAAAATTTTCATGAGCCAAACATTCAGGGGAAAAAAAAAATCAACCCAATTTTTATTTCTGAAATGTCTCTTCTTGGACTTTTTTAAAAAAGTGCTGTCACTAACTTATATTTCAAAATAAAAAGTCATTTTGAGCCAGAATGTGTAAACCTTTAATCCTTTTTGAAAGAAATTTGGAGTCAAATATTCCTTCAAACCACACCTTCCCTGGGAAAAAGCTTGGCTTTGATGAATGAGCAAAAGGAACCAGGGCTTTGTTCCAGGGGAGAGAAGCTGGGATCCTTCACTATCTAGCAGAACAAGGAGGCTGAGACTAGACTTGAGAGGCACAGGGCACCGAACTTTAAATCTAGTGTCTTAGGATTTATAGACAAGCTCTTTTATGGGGCTTCTAAATGAGAGATGTAGCTGGCTGTGTTAGTCGGAAGCCAAGTAGAAGACAGGGGAGGATTTGTACCTGCTAGTCTAACCAAAATCAATATATACATAGCACAAGCTTTTGTGAGCTGAAGCTTACTTCAGATGTAGGTACATATAGATACACACACGTGCGCACATGCACACACACACTCACTTGGGTTAGTCTATAAGGTGCAAGTCTACCCTGCCTTCTCAATGCATCTGTTATCCATTCTTCCTCCCTCTGCACCCTATGCAGCTGGGCTCATGATAGCAATAGTAAATGGGTAGGCACAAGACATTTGTAAAACTCTTTAATGCAGGGTGTCAATAAAATGAGGGCAAGGGAAGGTTTGCTGCTACCGAGAGACTCCGTGGCACCTCTCTGAGCTAATCGGTACGGCTTTGCTATTGCGGAGGAAAGAGGCCAGGTCCAAATGAATGGTAGGGACCACTGGCTGGACAGCTTCTCTTCATCTGAAGTCAGCCAGAAGGCAGGGTCGACGTGCATCTTTATACACTAACTAAATACGATATCTTTTCAATCATGATGCACACCTCATCCTTAGGGTGAGCATTGTGTTACTACTTTGAGAGCAACCTCCGCTACTCTCTTCTCCGCGGAGATCCAATAGTTAGTCATCCCAGCATAGCCAGAGGAATGTCTCCCAAGGCCTGCTTTCTATTTCCATGGGATGGAGCTGAGTTATTCCAGCACCAGTCCTCATCCCGTCCAGCCGCAAATGAGCGTGAGCCAGCCGTGGAGGGACCTCCTTCTTCATGAGAAAGGAATTCACCATCTAAATTCATTCCTTTTTGGGCTTTCACTAAGCGTCGCTATCTGGGTTCAATTGAAGCATAATTGGCAACATGTTTTTCTAGGATTACTCTTCATTATGAACAGAGCAGAGGCCGGGCAGCCCACTTCTCCTGTAATCGGATCCATATTGCTGCCTGTGCTCCTGGAGAGCAATTTAGAAGCACTCCTGGTCAAGCTTGGGGGATTGTTAGTGCGATCCCAGCCACCCCAGGATTAGCTGCATGTTAGAGCAGCAGAAACAGGCACAGCACTGAGCCCATTCGCAGGTCACTTCTGCAGAGACTGCAGGGGAGGATTAAAGGGAATTAGCCGTGTGATAGGGAAGCAAAGGCTTGAGTAGCTGTCGTTCATTTTGTCTGGGGAGGGAGCGCGTGCAAATGTGTGCGTACGTGACCCAGGAATGGCACGCAGAGAAGTGGGAGATGGGCTGAGCTCACATATCCGGATGCCCCTTCGTTCGGAGCTGGGCTGCAGGAGACTCTCGTCCAGGCTAAGAGAGCAGACATCTGGGTTCCCTGCCCATGGGCTAAAGGCGTAGTGCAGAAGCAGTTGATTTTTTAAAGTTTTTCGTCGTGGTACCAGGGGCCCCGTAAACCATGACAAGTTCATGACCAACCTCTGCCCAGAGCTGATTGGCATTTTGACATAACTATAGGGGCCTGGCGCTGCCACAGCTTTGGCTGCAGTACGGCTTATTCTGAAGACATCTCTCTTGAGGTTCCCAGTTTGTCTGAAAGAAGACTAATGACTGGATTTGAGAGAGGATGCTTCACACGGTTCAGAAGAAGGATTATAGATTGCAGCTGAGCAGAGCTGCCCTGGCAGGCTGACAGGGTCTTTGTAATTACACAGCTCTTGGGACACGAAGATATCAAATGGGACTCGATTCACCAACCGAAACGGGAAGTAGCCACAGCTCCCAGCGGCCTGCCAGATGAAAACCTCAGTCCCCAGGGCCATTTCCTTCCTTGTTCCTGTCACCAGACAGATCCCCATTCACACATTGGTGTGTCCAAATAGTGGAGCAGCTACCTTCTCCTTCCGAGGTCCTCTTCAATCTCATGCAACATTTCCTACAACCTCTCTACTTCAGGTGTTGCTGTTGTACCCATCACTGTCCTAGGGCCTGGACAGATGACATGACTATCATTGATACCATTTGAACTGGTGTTGTAAGCCAGTAGAAACTACACTGACTTCTGGGGCAGCTCTCCATGGGCAGCTGCATACAATAGGCATTGTGACCACACTTTGCCATGAAGTAGCAGATGATGCCAGTAATAGTCCATTTACCTTGAGCAACCATTTATCCCAGGATAAGCTGCAGGCAGATGACACATACTGGTATAACTTATATTAGTGGAGCTTTCATTTTTTCAAGTGTCATACCATACCATACTCCATACCAGCTATGAACTGACTGCCCAAAGGAGTTTTCCATCTTTTGACTCCTCTGCATAGGCTGCCGAACAGAGCGAGCCACCCAGGCCATGGCCTGACCAACATTTAGCATGTTAATTTAGCTAGCTATGCAGTTACAAAAATAGTTATACGGTTTTAACTGGAATGACAAGTGCGCATTTGTTGGTTATATCAGTTAAGGTGCTAAAAGTTGGTCCGGCCGTGGTTGGTGGCCCAGCCCATTCTGCGGCCTTTGCTCCACTGTGAAATCCTATGAAATATGAACTTTCATTTCTACCCAGGAGAACTTTTACAGTCTTTTCTCCAAAGCCTGATGAAGGGTATTTGTGTGCAAAAGCTTGCAAATAAAGAATTTTTGTTGCAAAAAACTTGGTGGTCTAATAAAATTTATCACCTCTACCATGAGTCCTGATTGCATTTTCCTCTATGGCTGCAACCTGGATACCTGATTCTTTCAGGTGTAATTCTATGCAGAATTGGATGAAGTTCCTCTGGTTTGAGGTTGATATTGTCTATCTTCTCCTTTTTTACATTAGCTAATTACCCTCGTATGAGCACAGGGTCTGTTCAGGCCTGTATCCTTCTCCCCGCATTGTACTTTCCCTACTCTATCCCCCATAACTGTGTGGAGGAGTCAGAACCTCAGAAGAAAACCTAGGATTTATCTACTTAGAAATGACCATGGCATATAGCCCAGCTAGCTCCGGGATTGCTGGCTCCAGTTGCACAGGACTCGGTGCAAAACCTGCTGAGAGGCTCAGGAATGATGTGGTAGGTTAAGTCTGTGCTAGGAGGTTAGGCACAGGTAGACTGCTCCCAAG